TGACACATCAGAAAGTAAATAACACAAATACTTATTTGGTTTATGGCGTAGATCTTCACCAGCATGATGTTCGGAAGGGAAAAACAAAATTCAAGACTCTCAAACTCTGTTCATCTATTTGGTGTGGCACAAAATAGAGAAGACAAATTGGAGATGATGTTTAACATCCATCACAGAAGTTACAGCACAATAGATTATTAAAGGCTGTAGATGCAGATTAAAGTCATAGATGCAGAAGCCTGATTTAAACATGGACCTTGGTAAATGAACAAAATGCAGGCACAGGTACCAAATATAGAATCAATTAATGCACAGTGGAAACAGCAATTCAGAAAATGTCAAGAGGAAACCCAAGGAGAATGGGCTTGTTTAGATTAAGTTTTGAGTAATTCAAAACAAGGTGAATTTCTCATGGTCATAGAATGCACAGAAACTGAAAATATGACCAACTGAGAAATTCAGCGTCTTCATGGTAAATTAGGGTATGTGGCAAAATGAACTACAGAAATAGTAAAAATGTAGTAGTAATAGATCAGCAAGGTGAGGTGCTGTCATCCAGATGATTTTTGTATTTTTCCAGTGCATTCATCAAATGTTCACTTTTCTTGGGAATGCTTACTACACAAATTCCCTAGTTCCTGAGAGTCCAAAGTTATGGTGCTCAAAAAACCTAAAATAAAGCAAGAAGTGGGGAAAAAGATATTTTCTTTCCCTCACATTTTTTTCCTCTTTAAATGTTTTTCATCTTTATTATTTAGAAAGGCTTGACTTAAACATAAATCTTGATTTTTTACCTTAACAGTACTGTAAGAGAAAGAGGGATGATATTTTCCCCCAAAGCCTTAAATGACTTGAGTTGGAAGGTTATGCCAGTTGTGATGGAGACATCTTTTTCTTATGAGTGTTTTTGCAGACTTTGTTTTTATCTAATTTGTGTTAAAAAATACAAAGCAGCCATGATCTGAAATAATGTGGCTTAATGTATTTCGACAGCTTTCATTTTCCCTCTCTGCTTCATGTAATCAGCTTCCTACTTTTTCTTCGGCCATCTACTGAATCTTCCAAAACAAGGATGAAATCTGTGATGTGAGAAAACCACAAACCAAATAACAAATTTTTAAATAAAATGAAGACAACTTTTACAAGTTCAATGAAAATGAATCCCCTCTATATCCTCTCTATACAGAAACAATGACAAGGTCAGAAACTCAGTTATCTTTCAACTTTCATCACCTCATTTCAGAACATCTGAATGAGAATGATAGCATGGTTGTAAAAATTCCACTTTAAAATTAGCTTTATGATCCACTAATTTTTAAGTTCTTATCAGCTCTATATGGAGAAGAGCAAATACTATTCTGTAAGAGGATATTGATCATGGAATTACAAATGGAATAGTCATGATGATTAGCAGAAACTGGAATGGGAGATGGATAAGAGAAATTATACTGGAGAAGAAACATACCATTACAAAAGAAAAGAACTCTCTACTAATTGCAAGGAGGAAGAGGTTGAAAAGAGACTGGATAAAAAGAATACTAATTTACAAAGTACTGCTTTTTCAGTTTCTGTTTTCCCACTTCACTCTCCATACTTTTTTTTTCTGATTTTCCATGTTTCTTTCCTTCCATTTGCCAGAGCAGAACTTGTTTTTTCATGTCTTGATCTAACATGAGTTAATGTTGCTCTTGCTATTTCTAGCAGGAGAGAAAAAAAATCCACTAACCTTTATCCAACTTTCAATAAGAGAGAGTAATGTTGCCCCAGGCCCAACATCAGTTAGACAATTTCTTTTCAACCAGTGTGTGATGCTGTAGCTTTTCAGCAGATATGACTGCATTTAAAACCATTTAGCAGATGTTAAAGAGTTATTTTCTCTCAATATATTTCTCTCTTAGTACCTGTGAAACTGTTTAGACCAAGAATTTATTTTCAAAAATTATTCAGTCTCTGTAGAGCATGCAGAATCACATATTACTCATTCTTTTTCCCTGAACTGGGTTGATGAGCTGTTTCAACTGGAGAGAAGCAGTAGTAAATAAATTCTGTAGGTCTTCAGCTCTACTATTACAGAACAGGTTTGGACTTTGAGACAAATAATTGTTTGATGTTCTTCAACCATTTGATGCTACCATCTGCCAGAATAGTATTAATACTGGACAAGACAAAGCTCCTGGGAGACCTTATAGCACCTTCTGTGACCTAAAGGGGGCCTGAGAGCTGGAGAGGGACACTTTACAAGGGCACAGAGGGATGGTGCTGGGGAAGTGGCTTCAGAATGGGAGAGGGTTGGTTTAAATTCGATAATAAGAAGTTCTTTTCTCTGAGGGTGGTGAGACACTGGCACAGGCTGCCCAGAGAAGCCATGGGTGTCCCATCCCTGGGAGTGTTCAAGGTCAGGTTGGATGTGGCTCTGAGCAACCTGATCTAGTGAAAGGTATCCTTGTCTGTGTCAGCTGGGTGAAACTAGATGATTTTTAAGGTCCCTTCCAACACAAATCATTGAGTGGTTCTGTGAATATTTTCCACATTCTAACACTTCAAGAAGACCATCAGTGGGCTTGCAGCATTGAGAGCAAAGGCTGAGTGTCATTTGTGGAACTTTGGGGCTGTCAAGTGACATGTGCTGAGCAAGAGGCTCCTCTTCCTTTGGCTGGGGCGGAGGTGTCTTTGCAGTGTGTGCCCAGAATGGAGCTGCAGCCTGCTTGCAGTGTGTGCCAGGGTGGCTCCAGGCTCACAGAAGGGCCACAGCACTGTGCTCACGAAGAGTTGACAGTGCAGGAAAGAGACCTGGGGTAAACAGAGATAGAGCAGGTGTGACACTGTTATCTGCACTGAAGGGTTCTGTACAGCTGCTGGGGAGAGGTCACATCTCTCCTGCCTCTCCAGCATCCCTGTCTTGTTCAGCTCTGTGGCAGGAATGCCCCAGCTCTCCCCTTCTAGTGTGCAAGGTTGCAGGTGGAGAGCAGGAGCACAGACAGGAACAGGCAGCTGGATCCCAGTGTGCAGGGGCAGGCTCCTGCTCTGCTCTTTGCACCAGTTTCATCCTCCCACTGACCCCTGTTGGACCCTCAGTCCACGCTGATCACAGTCCACCCCTCCATCCTTCCTCTCCAGATTTGCTCTTCCTGGCAGTGCTCCCTCCTTCTTCCTCTACCCCTGCCCTGTTCAGGGGGACTGAGGGCAGATGTATTCCATTCTAAGCCAGACCTCACAGCTGATGGTGCCTGGGTCTGTCAGCTGGGCTTTCACAGCTCTGCCTGGGACTTCCCTTTGCTATAAGAGAGACTTCTAGCCCTAGCAGTTTACTTGGACCCCAAATATAAGAAGTTCCTGGTCATGATGGCAACAGGCAACTCACAAGTGGCCCATTAAGCCTTGCTCCTCTTGCTTGAGTTCAGAAATCCCCAGATCTCCCTCTCTTGCCTTGCTGGACTCAAGGTTGCCAGTCCGGTCTGTGGCAGTGCAGTCAGCAAGAGCTCAGTGAGGCCCAGTACATGGATGTGCTTGTCAGGAGAGCCAGTTAAGAGGATCACAGCCCTGAAGGGTGGTGTTTGTCATCCTTGTCATAGCCATGTCCTGCCTTCTCCAGAGGTCTGGCTGTGTCTGACCTCTGTGCTCACCTTTGTAACATGCAGTACAGGAATCCTTTTTCTTTTTTTTGAGTTCCCCGAGTTGCAAGGAGCTGCAACTCGGAGAGCAGCAGCTTTACTCAGCCTAATTAGGAACATATGGGGGATGCTATTAAAGCACTTGGTTCTGATGAACAGAAACATCCTTTGGATGTGAAGGAAAAAATATCCCTTAGTCCTCTCAGAAATGGACCTTCCTGCACAGCAGAAATTTGACATGTGAAGGTGTGGTGGACACCACCATATGCAAACAGCGTTGTCTTTCTGATGTTTTTCATATTGCCATGTTTAGCCTTTTTAGGGGACAAAATCTGGGGGTTTTTTGCATTTTGAATTCTTGGTGATGAATGCCTCAGGTTTCCCACCCTGAAGTGCCTCCATGGCCCCTGCAGGCCTGTGTGGGGTGGATTGCAGCATCTCTCACCTGTCAGAGGATTTGTACTGGGGAAGTGCAGTGATGAGCACTCTATAAAATGTGCCAGAGCTGCTAGAATGAGCAAGGGGCTTTGCATATATCTGTGGAGAAGAAATTTGCTATAAAGAGTAAAAAAAAAAAAAAAGATCAGGAAAGTGGAACCATTCACATTCAATCCAACCAGATTAGACCTTGCTGAATTGATCCCAGGAATAGATGATCATTTTGACAGCTACATTTCTTGACAGAGTATAGGAGGCTCAGGTTTAAGGACAGTACAATGGTTCCTCCGTGACATGGGAGCAAATAACTTCAAGCAGAATTTGAGGATGGCACGCAGGCTGAAGACAGAGGAAATTGCTGACTGTACAGAGCAGTCTGGTTAGCTGGCTGACTACTTACATATGCTTCTTAGCATTTAGTTTCACTTTTTACATTTAATATTTAATTTTTAAATCTTGATAAAATTTTATCATGTGTGTTTTGTATTATTGATATTTAAAATTTGAAGTGTAATGGCAGGTATTACAAAGGTCTTTTTTCTTGCTGAGGGTGGCAAAGCAAAGGCTTCAGCAGCTCTAAGCTGATGTGCAACCAATTCAAGCCATAAGGGTGAAATGCCTTTTTCAGGGATGATGGTTCAATATTGAAAGGGGATGTCTTAGGAATTGATTCTTTCCCAGTCACACATCATGACTGGATGAATCTGCACTTTAGCCAAGCATACATCATGCTTGAGAAAAACACAAGTGACTTGTCTTCATATGGAGAAAGCTGTGAGAAATGTAATAGTTGATGAGGTATGGGTGGTCTGAGCACAAATGGAATGTCTGATTTAAGTCTGTTGTGGCCTTAAACTCAATGATTCTCCTGCTTGTTTAGCTGATTTGGCTTAAGACTGGTAGAACAAATTGTAGAGGCATTCAGAAGCCTGACCAGATGTGTTCCCACAGGAAACGAGGTGATTGCAGTAGACTGGAAGGGACTGAAAGATGTGGACCAAATCAATATGGACAGCACGAGTTCACTGCATGGCAGCAGCTTCCATCGACCTTCCACTGAGGTGAGTGCCTGGCCCAGAGCTGATGAGCCAAGGGGATGAGAAAGTTTGAATTCTGGGTTCAGAAATGGGTGTTGTGCATCACTGAGGCATCATCTGTGGGAGGGCTGGAATGCCAGGGAGCTCCTGAGGACCATACCTGGGCAGGGTGGCTTGCTCTGAACAGAATTGAGTCACTCCCTTCACAAGATCCATAGTGAGTAAGAATTTGCGAATGAAACTGCTTTTTAACCAGTCATGATGGGAGTGGAACACAACATGAGAAAAACAGTGACAGTTTTGACAAGCCTGTAGGTCTGCATTCCTTGAATAAGGGATTCACATTGGAATGTCCAGCACTGTGTCCGTCCCAGCTTCTGCAGCACAGCCATGAAATCTTTTGAAGAAACACATTTGTCTGCACTTTGAATTTTAGAGATGCATTCACTAATAACTCACAGACAATCGACTTACCATGCAGTATTTTAAGGGCTGGTTCATTGAACTACTGCAGTTTCTGCATTCTTGGATACCTGAATTTTCAGCTTTGTAAGGTTCAGAGTATGCAATGATGATTAATAGAAAGATAAAATCTATATTAAATGCATAATATTTGAAGAATCACAAATAATGTTCACAAATAAGCTTAACAAATAATATACAGTTTGCAAAACCTTGAAAAATGTTAATAGATGCACATATATATCATATTTTTATTTTGTTTGTGTACCTTGCTGGCTTGGAAGCACCTTCAAGACGCTTAAGAGTTTCATGGAGTCCTGGCAGGAAATTGTTTGGCCCAATCTTGTATGGAGAATTCAGTCAAATCAAATCAGATCTAAAAGTCAACGAGCGTAAACCACATCAGTGAACATTTTGATTTATATGAATGGCTACCATAGGTGTAACATGAGTCATCTAAATTTTCCTGAGTAGTCTCCATCCCCAAACCCAGGACGTTGAGATGAGTCCTCCCAGCTGAAGGAAGCACACTCTGAGTTGGTGCTGTGATGGCTGATGTGGGAAATTATTCTGGCTCGCAGGGGCGAGCGAGTCAGAATGGACAAACCAAAACACTGCAGAAGAAAATAATTTCAGCAGAATTGAATAGCTCGCCGTAGGACACTCAAAATACATAGGTGGTGTAGCTCCTCCTTGTGTTAACCTCAAAGTGGTGCAACCCACACTTATGAGGAGAGTCTTGAGAAAAGGTGCTTTGCTCTTTCCTACTCTGTCACCCTGTTCACTATTTCACCTTCCAACACCATGACCCTTACAGGCACCATATTCACCAGCAGGGAGTGAAACCATCTTGAAAGACACAAGTTTTTAGAACACAGCAGATAAAGTAGTGCCTGTTGATTGTGGCATACTTCTGGAGTTGCTTGGCTGCTTGCAAGTTGCTTGTTTCACTGACGTGGTGCCTTTCTTCGCTTTCTTTAGCAAACACGGACAGATTTCTCCTGGGATGGTATCAACGTGAGTATGCACTGAGTCACTTTCCAAATTTCTAGTCATAGGAAGACCAGGGTTTGTCTGACATTGGATACAGTGGAGGCCAGAATGAGAACATGGCTGAAAGTCCTTCATGCTGCTGAAGTTCTGGTGGTTGTCTCCGAGGTGGTAGATTTTTGTTTGCTTCTGAGTCCTTTGCTGTCTGGCAGATATTTTGATCTGTGGGTGGCTGTTGAATAGCTTTCATCCTTTTGGGGACAAATGTGTGCCATTTCATATGTTCTGTTTTTGAGATTTCTGGGCACTGCTACATAAGAAAGGTGTCCGTCCAGCATATTTTAAAAAATAGTAGTCCTAGATTAGAGCATCATTGGACCTTCTTCAGGGAGAAGTTTGGGAGAAATGTCTCCTGCATTTTCAGTTGCACGCGGAAGTAACAGAATTCTTTATGTCTCCTAGGGTAGATGGAGAGTACCAGTTAACTTCAGTTAAAAAGCAGATGAGAAACAAACATTTTAATTACACATGTTCCTTTTGCTCTTAATACTGTGCCATGAAAAAAAATATTTCTTTTTCACTAATGCAGAAACAGCATCCTGAAAAAGGAATAATGCATATTTGTTCTACTGGACTTTTTTAAAGGGTACTTACAAAATATTTTTGCATAAATTAACTTTATAGTTCTATATGCTTGGAAGGCCAGGATTAGCAGCTCCATTTTGAGTCGTATAAGTGTTTTCAAATTCTAGATTCTTTCAAAACTTTTAAAATACCTGTAGCTTTCTTCTTTCCTGTGATTTGGAAGCATGTGGGACACTGAATATAATTTTTAATTCTCACCTCTTTCATTGGGGCACTTATGGTCTTGAGGTCTTTTGCCTAGAATCAATTACAGGAGCAAACTATGTTGGAAAATAATGGTGCACAGCAACTGTCTAGAAGAAGTTTGTCTTTTATTTTTTTCCTCACTGCACCTATGTCTAGCTGAAAGCAAAGTACACAAGGTCGTGTTTCCTTAAAGAAAGCAGAAGACAGTTTCCTTACTTGCAGTTTCCCATTTTTCAACCCATAGAGAATCCATGGAGCTCTTTCATGAGGCAGCTCTTAGCCAGTGTAATTCCATAGATCTTCTTTGATACCAAAGCTGTTTCATGAATTTCCTTCCCTTCCCTTCCCATTCATTCCTGCCTTCATGTCACAGCTCTTCAGCCTTGCAGTAGTGGGAGCCCTCTGCAATTTACTTTCTTTTTTTGATGGGTTCCATGAGGCAGCTCACAGCACAGCCCCCAGGCTCTCCTGGAAGAAGTGGTGGATACTGAGCAGGAGCACCCGGGCAGGAATGACCAGTGGGGGCATAGATGGACTTTCTCCAGCAAGCTTCATCACCAAAGGAAATGCTTCATGGAACAAAGGCTGTGCTCTCACTTTTTGCTGTTCTTCCTCTGCTTTCTGATTTCTTCAGCTCACGTTACACACACAGCACGTTCCTGCCTCCACAGTTACAAGATGCCTTAGCTGCTGCATTTACACTCAGTTTCCAGAAAATCTCACCTCTCATATTTTGGCAACTGACTGGTGTTATACACAGTGTGAGATCTTTACAATGCCTTCCTTTGCCTCCAGTTATTTCACTGCCCAGTTACTGCTCCATTCACTTTTTGTGAGGTCCAAGTGCTTGTTTTCTGTCAGGATTTCAAATTTTCAGTGTCATAGTCACTACTTCTGAGTATCCTTGTGTTTGAAAGATTCTGGCCTTGATTTTCAGAGAGGTTGAAATGAAGAGCAGAAGCAATGTTTATTTAGCCCTTGTGAAAGTTAAGCCTCATATGCAATGCCTGGCATCTCTGAAGAAGCCTGATGAATTCATCTTGAGAGATTATTTTTGTGATGATGTTTGTGACGGCTGCCTGTCCCAACAGTGCCCTGTCCTTGTTATTCAGGGACTGAGGATAAACACAGAAAAGGCAGTCAAGAAAATTAAGCAGAGCTGTAGAGCTGTAGACCAAATTTCTTTACAGATGTAGGTGCTTGAAACAGGACCCATCACTGCTGTAGTCATGATCGTTTTATTAAGACTATATAAGAAGAAAAAAACCCAAAGTACCAAAAAATTGGTAGTATTATGCGTATATGATACGTTACTGTGGCTTGCCTATTATACTGACAGCTCCCCACTGCAAGATCCCTGAATTGTGCAACAGCCATGTCTTGCATCTCTAACAAAGAGTTGGGAATGGTGCAGCGTGTCTGTGGAGGGCTGGCAGCTGCCAACAGGAGGCTTCTCACAGCCTCTTTCTGCCTCTCCCTCTGGCCTTGCCTCAGTCAGTCCCAGTGCTGTGCAATATCCAGTCCTGGTTAAATAGCCTCTCATTTTCCTTTCCTTCTTTCGTTCTTACTGCTTGCTTCTGCTCCTCATCTTCCAACTACCTACTGTTTTCTCATTTCAGTTCCCTTCCTTTTCTCCTTCCTGTGTATCATTTCTTCATATTCTCTCTCTTTTCAGCTCTCCATGGAAGATACGACCTCCATCCTTCCCAAGCTGAAACGCAACTCCAATGCTTATGGGATTGGGGCTTTGGCTAAATCATCTTTCTCTGGTGAGGTCCTCAAAATTTGACTTTATACTTGGCAGCTTCTCTCCACAGGCCTTTGTGCCTCTTCCCATATCTCTCTGTCACTCTCACAACTGCTCCTTTCTGGCTTTCGCCTTTTCATGGCCTTAGAGGAGTCTCCAACACCATGGTTCTAAATGCAGCAATCTCACAGTTGTTGCCCTTTTAAAGAACAGATTTGTCTTACTCCTGTTGGCTTCTCACTGTGCACCCCTGCTCAGACATCTTCAATTGCTTCCCCTCAGTCTTGGGTTTAACCCTCTTTTTTGTTTCTTAGTTTGTTCACTTCCAGGCTTCATCCTTCATGCCCAGCTCTATCCTAAATGGATTCTAGGCAAGGAAGGAAATGGTCTTTCATATTTGGGGTTCCCCTTTTTCCCCCTTCTGAGAGTTTGTCCTGGGGAAGATGGAAAAACTCTCCTGGAGAGTGATGCAGTGAGAGGTGGGAGACACCCAGCCCTAGTCACGCATCCTGTCAGGACAGGAGGGGAGAAGCTCCACTTCTGGGAGAAGTAAAAACCCCGTCGGAAAGCGGAGCTGTGTAATAGCCCTGCCTTGTTTCCCAATGTCTGGCCCCTTAGGGATATCCCGCAGCATGAAGGACCATGTGACGAAGCCGACAGCCATGGGGCAGGGCCGCGTGGCGCACATGATCGAGTGGCAGGGCTGGGGCAAGGCGCACAGCCAGCAGCAGCAGCACACGCACGAGAGCGCGCGCAAGGACGCCGACGCCTACTCGGACCTCAGCGACGGCGAGAAGGAGGCCCGCTTCCTCGCAGGTAGCCCCACCTGCCTCCTGGCACCTGCCGTGGGGCGGGCGGGGTGCCCCCAGAGGGGAGCCCCTGAGAGATTCCAAAATGCGGAATGCTTGAGAAAAGCACACGGGAGAGGCTGAAGTAGACAGAGACTTTGGTGGTTGGGATATTGCCAGTGGAATGCAAGGTGGAGAGGGTGAGGGCCAGTTGTGGGTGATGTGTGTTGCTGAGATAGGACCAGAGTGGGACAGTGTGACCAAAAGATGGGGTAAGGGATGATGGCGAGAAGTGGAGACTTTAATGCATCTTTGCTTCCCTTCCCTGTCTCCTTTGGCACAGGGGTGATGGAGCAATTCGCTATTTCTGAAGCGACTCTCATGGCCTGGTCCTCCATGGATGGTGAGGATATGAGTGTAAACTCAAATCAGGACAACCCAGCAGGCAACTACTCTGAGAACTATCAGGAGCTGATGGAGAGCCAAGGTGAGCTCTAGTGCTTCTTGCTAATCTTAAGACACCCCCTTCCTGCTCTGGTTGCTCTCTTTTGCTCTACTCTGTTTTATTCTGTAGCCCCAGTCAGATCTGCTAGAGTCACCCCTGTTTGTGGAGCTGTCCAAGGAATCTAATCTTAGCAGAGAGTTTCCAGAGCCCAGTTTCTTTTGCCTTTTTGGAGCACAACTGTGGAAAGCTGCCAGCTCCTACAGTCAGTTGTGGGTATTGAGGTCTCCTGCCAACTGCCCAGAACTGTGTTTTCTCTTTGCCCTCCTTGCCTCTAAAGGTGGATTCACCCTGCCTGTGCCGTGCTCGGGCACACGGGCTACCAGGATGAGCCAGCCTGGCCTAGGGAGAGTGTCTAACTGTGTGTTGTTTGCCTCCTTTGCTTGCAGAGCACATGGCCCAGACGCAGTATGACAGCTGGCCTCACTCCTACGTCTCGCAGGGCATGTACTGCTTGGGCTCCTCCGACGCCTGGGAGGCCAGTGACCAGTCCCTCATCGCCTCCCCAGCCACTGGCTCCTACCTAGGCCAGAATTTTGATGAGTCCCAGACAAACCTTCAGGAAAGCATTTTGCTTCAGAGCAGCTTTCTCCAGCAGCAGCAGCAGCTGCAGCAACAGCGGCAGGAGCAGAACTTCATCCAGAGCACGGGGCTGGTCCACGTGTGGCCCCTGCAGACTGCTCAGGGCGGGGGTGGAGCTGAGTCCAGCACGTACATGGAGGACCACATTGAGGATGAAGGGAACCCAAGGCTGGAGAAGGCTCCTCTCCTAAACAAGAAGCCCTCTCCAGAGGAGGATGATGCAGTGTGCCGGGACCTGGAATCTTTGTCTCCTCGAGAGGAGGTGGAACATGCTGCACTGAGCCGCAAAGTCTCAGATGTCACCTCCTCTGGGGTGCAGTCCTTTGATGAGGAAGAAGGAGAAACAAACAACTGATGCTTTCTGTGAAGTACTCATCATTGCTGAACAAAGAGAGGGGTGGCAAGGAATGCAATGACAGGGATTCTTCTCTCCAGCTCCCCATATTTCCAAGCAGACACACCTTCCATTCCTGACATTTAATTATTTTTTTAAACGAGGAAAATCTCAAAGTGATTGACACATAAAAACCTTTTATTCCCCTCCCCCGTGGATACATATTTTGGATTTTCATTGCTCTGGGCAACATGTGATGTGCTTGGAGAGATCTGGATTGGTAAATAATTTCTAAGTCTTTTTAATACAAAGTCTTGGCTGTGGATACAAACTCTTCTGGTACTGGGGATGTGGCTGATGAGACAGGCTTGGTGTAGGGAGCAGCTTTGTGGCTAGAATTCATCTTGGCAGAATGGACGTTGCTCTGTGGACACGGCCCCCTTCTATGTCATAGAATATATGAATATAAACTGGTTTTAAATGAAGCTGTGGCTTTGCAGATCTAGATTGCACTAGCATTGGGATTGTGGCTGATGCAGAGGATCAGGCCATGAAGGATGTGCTGTGCAACCAGATCCTCAGTAGCACCTTGGTACAAGCTGTAGAGTTGATGGGTACAAGCTGTGCTCCCAGAGCCTGGGCTGTGCTGCCAGAGTGGCTCTGTGGGCACAGCTCTGCTGTGGCATGGAGAAATGGGTGCAGATACAAACCTAACCCTGCTCTCAGATATTCATGCTTCGGTCTCTTCCATTTGTTTGTTTCTCTCTTTGACATTTCTGCCTTCCCAGGAGCTGGCAAGAGCGGTGTGTCCTTTTGGCAGTGGGCACTGGAAGCCAGTGGAAAGGACATTTTCAGCTACGGAGACAGTCATAAAAAGCTGACTCTTGCAGGGGGCTTGAGGACATGCCCATTTTGGTGCTGCTGCTGTGTCCTTCTGTCTTTTCCTTGCCAGCAGAATGGGGAGACCCAGAGAGTAGGCAGCAGGTCCAGGGACAGTGCATACAGCTATGAGATCACAGATACCTAGTTTACATTAGAGTTTTCAGTTTTTGCACTTTTTTTTAACCTTTTTATATTCTGGATAAGTGTTCATAACAAAGCAGTTAGTAATGGGAAAGGCCTGTACTCCAGTCATGACTTAACAGAAATACTGCATCTCTCCCATTTCTGCCACTCCTGCAGTGCCAAATATAGCTGGATGAAAAGGCGTGAGAGGAAATTTTCTCCTCCTATTTGTCTTCTTCTTCTTCCTGCCTATGTTTTCTTCTTTTGTTTTCCTACCCCCAAGCAGTGTAAATAATGCTCAATACTTGGTCTGATTGTTTTTCCTTCCCATCTCTTTTTTAGGTGTGGAGAAAGCTGATTTCAGGAGTTTCCCGTATTTGTACGGGGTATATATTTTTTGTTTTAAAAAAAACATGATTCTCTGATTAGGGGGAATTTGGTCTCTTGCAATTCCTCGCCATTTTTTCACAGACCTCCTTTTGGGAGGGAGAGGTTTTGAAAGGAAATTGTTTCACTTTCAGCTCTCACCAGAAAATAAACAGGGACAACAAAAGCAAAAATTGTATAAGGTTATTGGTTTTGCTGGAGGACTGAACAGATCCAGCAGAGATTACCCAAGTGCTGAGTTTTAATTGCAAGACCTCTTGCAAGGAAGCATCAGCAGAGCATGGGTGTAGATCAGATGCTGGATCCAATGAGCTATAGAAAGGAATTTGCCTGGACACTGCCATACTGTTCCAGGAGCAACTCTTTTCTCACTTACTCTGACTCATATTTGCTCTGTTTAATTCATGATACATTTTTCTCTTCTTTGCCTCCTCTTCAGGCTTGGTGTGTTTTTTGGATGACAGGAGAGTGATACATGCTTCTTTCCTGCTTCAGGTTCAGTTCCTGCATATTTTCAGGGAAGAATGTCTAAGGCGAACAAAATGTCACTGGAGGAATATCATCAAGTCTCAGAGTTTAGACAGCTCCTGGCAAGCAAAGTAAATGATGTCCAGGAATTGTGAAAAGTAGGAATGGGACTCTCAGGAAGAACTTTACCCCGATCAGCTTTTTCCCACTGACACAGGCAGCTGCAAAAAGAGGGACTCCTTTTTCAATGCCCAGGTCTTTCCAGCCAAGTCCACTTCAAGCAGATCTGTCTTCCCTCTCCACTGCACCTCTAAAGGAAAGACCTCTGGGATGTTTAAGTTACACTGGTAAATTGGTGTAGGTAAGAGAGAAAAGTTTTTGTGACCCATCTTTTTTTATGTGTTTCCTTGGTCTTGCTTCTGTATTTCTAAGGAGGTAGGTCACTCTTCTCCTGAGTGATGAGCTTTCAATATCTCTTCAAAGATGTTTACACATTCAGGTACTAACCTCCCTGGGCAGCAAGGCTTGATAAAAATGATCTCCTATAGTTCTTGCAGGGCCATTGGAAGCTCATTGTCCTGAACTGGCTTGGGTCCAGCTGTGGAGCAGGGCCTAGGAAATCACACTAGCCAGAAAAGGCAGATATGGCAAGTGCCAAGAGCACTTCAGCAGATGAATAAATGAGTAAGTTTAAAGCTATTTCTCTTTTAAAAGGTCTTTAGGGAAACAAAAATGATTGGGTGTGTACCTTTGTGGGAGATTTGGGTGGCTTGTTTGTTTCTTTCTCCAAACCATTTTGTTCCCATGTGCCTCTCCAGGACCAATCTGGATGTTTACAGTAACTTTCAGAGTAGCTTCTGATCATCCCTTTGTGTTGTTTACAGGACTGGGACAAGTGGGTCAACTTGTCCAGGGCTTCTTTTTCTTTAAGATGGACGTGTGGTACATTTACTAAGATGTCTGATTGATGTCTAAAAGATAGACCTTATCTCCATGGAAAGCAGTGACAGGGAGTTATCTACGTAAGGAAAAGTGTGAAAAAAATTGACCATATAGAAAATTCTGTAGAGTCCAACAGAAGAGAAGAGAAAATCTGTAGATTCTTCTTGCCTCTGTGGAATTGGGATAAAGAATTATACCCTACTTTATAGTACCATAACCTGCTGTCTTAGAAACCTGTAGAGAGCCTCATTCTCTGTGAATGCAGACTGGTTTGAACACCACTCTCTGTAAAAACCTTCCAGCTTACTAAATTCTGTATTTTTTTTTCATAAATGACTTAACATTCTGTGAACAATAAAACTTCAGCCTTTTCCTGAAAGAAAGAAAAAGGCTATTTTCCATACCTCTCCACAGTCCAAAAGAGCTAATTGCTAGGAGTCTGACTAGAGAGAGCAGATCTTCCAGTTCACACTTGCCACCCGAGTGAGCAGCCTGAGCTGAACTGGAAAGGCAGTTTGAATCTCTTTGAAAGTGGAAAATTGTTTGTGTAATCTGGTCCTTTCTTACATAACAGGCCTGCTGCCTGTGTGTATCCAATACCAGAGAGAGAGACCTGGAACCTCCTGTACATTTCCCAGAAAAGCTGTTATTGTATAGATACACCTATTCAAGCATATGGGAGGCACAGGTGCTCTGTGAGCGAAATTTGGCCTGCAGTCCCTTTATCCTGGTGAGGAGGGATGAGTTGGAGAGAGTCCAGCCAAACAGTCAGAGCCCAAATTGTGTTTGTGAGGCTGTAAATAAGAAGGAAAGGTGAGCTCAGTATCCCTGATCTGCAGTTACTAAGAAACTGAGCTCTGCTGTTTGATGCCACAAACACATTATGAAGCAAAGCTGCACTACAGAAAATTTTGGGTATTCTTGAAGTAGTGGAGATAGAAGATTCCCATCTTTCCTCCAAGCCTTTGTCTTCAGCAGGAACTTGTTGAAATTACTGTGCTAAACATGAAATAAGGCTTAACCAGAAGTGACCCTAATTTAAAATCTTCTACTGGAAGAAAATTCTCTCTTGTTCCTTCTGCCATGATTGCTCATACCTGATTAGTTATACTCTTTCATGAGCTTTTCTTTTATATAAATCTGAAGCTTTCTTTACAAGCCCTCTGGGTTCTCTTCAATTCCATTACCTCAGGCTCTGGGACAGAGAAGTTTATCTGCTTCTTTCAGTTTCTGTGCCTCTAAATCATCATCCTCTTTTGGAGAGCTGCTGACAAGTCATCCACTTGCTTTTTCCCCTTAAAAAATGGTAACATCACTTTTCAGGACAGGCTTGCTGCAGAGAACAAGTTTAGCCATGCTTCTGAGCTGATCCAGTGGTGAGCTGCTTTGAAGGAAGGGGAGCTCTGCTCTGACCATGCTCACCTCCCACAGCCCTTGGGCAAGTGCTGATGCACAGCTGGCCCACACCAAGCCAGGGACTTTTACCCTGCTATAAAGGTGAAGATGGAAGAGCTGTGAGCAGAGGGAGAGAGAGTGCTGTTCTCAACAGCTGGCCTTCTTTATATCAGGTTGGAGAAACTGGGAAAAGCACTTTGAAATGGCATCTTCATGATGAGTCTAAGCTGCTCAAAGGAGCTGTCCTGCCTCCTCTCTTCCACCACCACCAGCTCTGTACTTCTACTGCCTAAAAAGCACCAGCACTAACACTCATTTGGCTGCTCAGGAACTGGCCCCATTGAAAACTAACCCAGTCCCCTACCTAAATAAAGGTTTCAGTGAGGTGAACTCTTCATATTGCTTCTCTTGGTGAGGCAGGCATCACTGAGGGCTGGTGAAATGTGTAGATGGTCATGTGGAAAACTGGTTGCAGATGCAACTTGAATTGGCTTAAGCTGATTGTGATATGTCTGTCTGAAAAGAAAAAGACCCACTGGGGTACCAAGAAGGACATTATTCCCCATTTTCTTCCTTAGTGTTTTCCTTGGAATTTTTAGTATGCTCTTACTTGATTTGGTCTTTGTTATTTATGCCCTGTTGTTTCCCTCACTGTTCCCTTCCACAGGCTCCTTTGAAGTAAACCCTGGAAACTGGGCAGAAGGACACGAGTAACTTGATATATGCATGAAATTAATAAAATTAACATGCACAAATCGTGTATGCACTCAGTGATCAAACTCCATGGCAGCTAAAGATACTGACAAGTCTTATCCTGTAATTGCAAGAGGGGAGACTTGTTTAAGAGTGAAGCATAGCTGTTGGAAGGGATATTTATCCCTATTTTCAATGTGAGATACAGAAGAGTACTTCACACCTAGGCAGAGCCTGTGTCTGCTGTACTGTGTGCAGCAATGAAAAATGTTCAATGTAGCCCTGGAGAACTGGAGAAGGAAAGTCATCTCTCTGCTTGACAGAGGTAGGAGGTGTTGTGGTGAGGCAAGGCTGTGTGCAACAGCACAGGCCTGTGCACCACTGTGTGTGGCAGGGAGGGAAAGGCTTGGAAAAAGGTCCAGAAAAGCCTGATGTCTTTTGTTTACACAACACAGGTAAGAAGCTTCATGGCAGACTGCCAGCGGAGTGGACTGAGGTACAGAATTGCTAAACAAGCTGTAAGTCCAGGATTGTTGCAGCTTATGGTACTCCTTAGTCCAAACCACACTTTTTTTCTGAGACAGTGATAGGAAAGAGACCTCCCTGGATTTGGGTACCTGCTAGCTTCTTCTTCGTTGTCTTCAAAAAAAAGCTCACAGTGTGTTTTGTTCTTCAGGGAAATCGTATGAGAAATACACAAAATAAGAACTTACTCCTTGCCCAAATGAAGTTAGTGTGAGTTCTGATCTCGCTGGAAAGCCAAAATACCTAAATTCAGCTTAGTTTGCCTTAACTGTTGTATTGATAATTGCCTAAAAGGAGAAGCAAACTCAGATAACCTGCCTCTAAATGCTATAAAAAGCAGAGCAACGTTGGCAAAGTCTAAGCTCTTCCTTCTAATTTTTCCCAGGTGGATTTTCCAGTGTTCCTTGTTCAGACAACTCTGGCATATCTTTTAAACAAGCTGTTTGACTTTTTCTAAAAGAGAAAAAGAAAAGAAAGGAAAGAAAAAAAATTAATTCCAATACAGAGATTATCAGCAGCTTACAGCTAGAAAAATGTAAATAAGTAATACTTTCGTCTTTGATTTTCCTCCCCTGTAGCAATCTGACAGGGAAAGATTTCTATGCCATGGCTCAGGGAAAGGAAAAATAAACAGGGAAAATGTGAGTAAAATGGTGCCTATTAGAACTAAATGTATGTGTAGGACAGCCTACAGTCATTAAAGCACAGTCTCAAATACGGTTGCAAGCTGTAAAGTCAGTGTTGGGAGCCTCTTTTGTACCATGGGCTTTTCCCAGGCTGAGTAGTAGTGAACCTGTGCATGAGCAGAAGAGCTGCACTTCTGTGCCAGGTCAGTGTCTCTGTGTCTCAGAGAATGTCCTGGAGCCTGGGGACACCGTGCTCCCTGGGCAGCGCAGCCAGCTCCGTGGAATGACTGGGATAAGGCGTGAGGGTTACCATGTTAACAAATGGACATGGGAGATCTGCGCTTGCAACATCAGGGTCTATTTACATCCTTGCACTGACATTTTCCCCAGCATAGGCAGACCAAAGTGTTATTTTTTCCTCGGAAATGAAGAGAATCTCTATGATTGTCAGTGTTGGTCTGCACAAAAGAAAAGAAATATGTGCTGTATTTTTCCAGTGCAGATATTGTTGGAAAAGTTTAGTCAGGCTGTGATTCTGAGAAAGAGTATGTTTGCTGAAACTGTAAAGACTTGTTCAAGAATGTTTTTAGTGCAGATACCACAGAATCACAGAATGGTTGAAAGGGACCATCAAGTCCAACCCCTCTGCCATGGACAGGACCTACCCACTGATGTGTAGTAGCTGCTGTCTTTTGGGAAGAGAGGGGTTGCAGTGTTCTGTGGAAAGAATGCTCCTGCTAGGATCTTCCTCATCTCCTTCAGCTGGGGACATTTTAAATGCCCTCTGAAACCTAGTCTTGTTTTCGCTTTCCCATAAGGGATCAGATGTCCATGCTTGCAAGACAAAAACATCTAAAAAGGCTTTTCTCCATTATGGAAACAAGATTGTGCATCAAGATTTGCTTCCAATAAGATAAAGGCATGTAGTCCAGATTCATTGGCCTTCTGGATTCATTTTCATTTGGCATGGAAATCCAGTCATGATTGGATTGGAGGCCACAAGGTTAAGAACCCTCTTCCAGAGCTTTGCCATGTTCCCATGAGGCAAGTGTAGGTGGATTTCCCTTCTTTTCAGATACTGCATGCTTGAGCAACGTAGCAAGCCAAAAGCTCTTTTGCAGGTATATATTCTTGTTTGGCTTTAATTTTTCTTCTCTGATTTGTGGATGTTGTGCATGATTGGAGGTCTCTGGGAATCCCTACACTATAAAACTGGAACTCAAAAGAATTTTACAGGGAACAAGATTCCTCTTGTTTCAGCTCTTTTCAGACGTGGGTGGGTACAGGCAGAGGATTGGGAGGTACGAGGGTGATGGATGGGAGTCTCAAGGGTGGCGTGCAGAATGGATTCCTGAACCATGTGGAAAAATAACTAAAGGCTCGGGTCTGCAAATGTTGTATTCTCAGTACCTGAAACTCCTTTAGCATAAGTGTATGGGACAATGGAGGCTGCTGCAAAGCAGTTCTCAAGGGCTTCTCCCCAAGCCTGGACGTGTTTTCTGTAGAGGGGAGGCTGCATGGGGATTGTCTATATCCTGTTCAGCTAGTGTTTACAGAGGTGCATTGATGTGTGGGGAGAAGGTACTGAATGCAAGCAAAACAAAGAAAAGGGACCCACTACTGAAAGCTTTCATCCTTACACTGTCCCACACTAGCCCTTAATAACTAAAATGAGTCTGATTTGCCTTTGGTCTTCCAGCTCCAAAACATGTTTGCCTGAAAATTTTTGTTGGATATACTTCGCATGTTTTGATAATGTGACTTACGAGATAAACACTTCTACAGAGCTATATATAAATACATCCATGTGCAACCACCTGCATACATGTGCACACATTACATATAGACTTAGAGAACTATATGGCACTACACACCTCCATGCCTGTACGTGGCAGCAACCACAGTAAAGGAGGGGAGGTAGCTCAAAATAGCATGTACAGTCCTTTATGGAGTTGTTATTAAACAGAATGTGGTCTTGCCCTCCTGGCTGGTGGAAGTGTTTTATTTCTGTGGGACTGGTTCCAGGGGACTTGCGTCTCAGGAAGGAGGATCCTAGGAGGAGGGGGTGGATTTCAAGGAGACAATCTGAGGGAGCACATTGAAAAGGATCCATGGTGGCTTGGAGAAGCACCCCAGAGTAGGAAGTATCTGATTTCTCGTTAAGAAAGAGCATTACATGTTTGACTATACTGGGCTACAATCTGATGCGTGTCTATGCCTACCAGGACATGAATCCTAGGCCAGATTTGAGGATAGAAAGCATCACATCAACACAATCCTCAAATTTAGCACAGAGTGAGTTTTCCTGTTCTACTGAATAAGCATTTTCCAGGTGATACATACAAGCTTTGTCCCAAAACTGGTGAGATGCAGACACATCTGACTCAGAGTTGGACAGAAATTTCACAACAGCCCATTAGGACACAGAAAGGTGTCTGATGCTTAGGTTGTAAAAGGCACTGACATTGGGTAGCACGACTCTGGGTTCACATTTCAATTTTAAATGCTTCTCAGCTCACTGTCCTCATAGCAGATTGGGGAATTGGTCCACCCAGAGGGAAGGAAACATCTCTGCACTTCCAGCATTGTTGTGTCATCTGCTTCTGACGCAGAACATGATGTAGATCTAGTAGCTTGCCATAGTTTGTTTGCCATGTGAGACTTTTAAATTCCAGCCATAAAAAGTATTATTTCCTTGTTTTCAGACTCTGTTTCTTCCAGGAGCTAAGCAGTGTTTCTTGCCCTGCTCAAGGCATAGCATATTTTACAGCCAGGGCTATTGCACTGATTTTTGCTTTCTGTGTTCTATTTGAATTTAATTTGCTTCTTTCCCGTTTACCTGCTTTTGCTACCAGATAGATTGCCACCCACCACTTGGTATGTATGTCTGCATAACTACATTCATAGAATTAATTGTGACATGCATAAGACACACTTACTTAACTGCTTTAGGTTTTTATTTGTTGTTTTTTGAGGGGTTTTTTTAATTTTATTTTTGTGAATCCTTGTAAGTCTCCCTGTGCTCTCTCCTGGTTTTGTGTGTGGTTTTTGTTTATTTTGGTTTTTGTTGTTGATGTTGATGTTGTGGATTTTGTTGTTTTTTTTTCTTTTCCAAATGGCTTCTAAACTACTTTGTTTTTGAAATGTAGTGTGTCAAATGAAATCACTTATTCCACATATGTTTAAGACTTGAGTCCCTGGGAAAACAAAATGTCTCTGGTCCTGGAAGTTTTACCTCTGCATTGGAAAAACATATTTTTTCTTTAATTTCACATTATGCTGCGAAGATGCTGTCCAGCTGCTGAATGTTTCATATAAAAGAACTCTTCTGTCATCATACTAGATTAGACTTACCCCTCAATTCTGTTCATCTTCTCTGGATTCAGCTGCTTAGCCCCAGCATGAACTTCATTGTATGCTATCTGCCTGAGGCTCTCATCTCCACTTTCTGCTTATTTCTTTGTTTAGACTAGATGGCAAACCTGCCATATGTTTCTCTCACGTTGCTGTTTTACAATACCTCATGTGTTATTTCTAAGTGATTAATGAGAAGGGTAACTAAAAAGGGCATACGAGCGCTCTTGCTGTACACCTCACTGGATCTGCACTTTGCCAGCTGCAAGGGTGCTTTCTGCATGGTTCTCAGACAGATCTTATCTTCTCTGCCAGAGAAATTGCCA